TGCAGCAGTACCTGACCAGAAGTCGAATCCTTGGGCGCTTGCTCTTGCACCACTATGGTTCCTCAAAACCCAATGCCCCGCACCTTTGAGGCTCTTACGATTGTGTGACTCAACTTGAGAACTGTCGCAAAAATGCAGGACGCTCGCTTCAACGCGGCTTTGGGAGCCATGGGTTCCTGGAGGGCGGTCTTGGTCCTAGCAAACTCCTTGAGCATCACGAGGACGGTCTTCAGCTCCACGGATGCGATGAAGAGAGGTCACTTGCCCTGTCAGGATCCGCAGAACTTCGGTCACATGCAAGAGCCTCGCGAGTGCCGTGGCCGTACCATGCCGCACCGAACAGTCGAACAGGGCAAATGGCCAGGGTCCAGAGCGTAAGCAACAGAATCACCTTTTATACGATAAATCCACGACACGACGCTTGTAAGAAGGCTCGGGAATCACAGTATCTTTCCAAGGTTCTTGCGAGAGGACCTCGGAGTGGCGGCATGCTTTGCAGAGCCTGGCTTGGATAAATGCCCAGCAGGCCCAGGCATAATGACAAACGCTTCTGCAGCCAAGATTCAGCTGGGGCAGGCTATTTGTGCTGTATTGTTCTGCTGCAGCCAGAAAGGATCCAAGTCACCAGCTTGGATAATGCAAATGGCCAGGTATGAGGGAACAGTCTCTTTTGCAGAAGAGGCTTCGGTGTAACCTCCCGGAACACTTGGCCAATGCAATGTGCAGGTCCCGGCTGATGAGCTCTCATACAGGGCAGTTGCTGCAGCCTGCGAGACCTGCAGTGCAAAGGGTGCAGGCCGGGTGGCGGCTCGCTGACTGAATGCAATTCCAGCTCGATTGTTCGTGCTTGTAACTTGTAACCAAGCTATGAGTGAATGATGCAAAGGCATGGCCTTGATGCGCTCAATGCAAGAGCGGAACGCCATGACTGGTTCCACATTGCTGTGGTCCTTAGCTCGGATGCAGGTCGCAGATGCGGCTCGGAGCCATCTAATGAGCCTTCCGAGATATCCGTTGTAGCATGAGCTTGCTTCCAAACACGTTGGCAATATCCGGAAACGTTTAATGCACCCGGAGCTTTTTTGAGAGGTTGACCTAGGCTTTGGGATCCGACATGCAGCTGCGTGTTTGAAGTTTTGCTACAAGTCTACACAGCTTAGATGTAGCATGATGCAGCTTTTGCTAGGTAGAGCTGCGAGCCTCTGCAGCAGCAGCTGGCACATATGCCCTGAAGGCACAGGTTTGCCACCTTTTCTGTTTGTTGATGCAGATGGCACGGAGTTTCTCTTTGTTTGCAAAGACATGTTTTTGCAAGCACTCGGGACAGGGCTTCGCCTCACCGGCCGATCTGGCAGTGCAGGGAGCCCGGGATATTCAGATCTTGAATTAGCGACTCTATTCAGACTCTGTGTGGTGCAGTGGGGCATTGTCGGGCGGTTATCAAGCAGCTTCATCAGGTGCAGTCGCGCAGTCAAGTCAGTAGGAAAGCATGTTTATCCTGACAGAGCCCGTGCAGGATGTCTTGGTCACTTGCAACGCTTGGCACCTTGGCTGCCCTGATGATGCCCAAGAAGACTGGCATTGCTTTTTCTTTCCAGTCAGCCACGCTTAATTCATTTGTTGGAAGGGCAAGTTGCATGCGCCCCGGCTTCCGTGCGTTGAAGTCCCTGTGACAGTTGTTGCGGAGTTGTTGAAAGAGCCAGGAATTGCAAGTACGAGATTTCCTGCCGAGTTGTGCAAGCAAGCCGGGTCGTTGCACCGGTTCAGCGCAGAGGAGTGCTGGGCAGCTGGGGACCCTGGAACGTTGGACCTGTCACCATCTATAAAACCTCACTCAGGGAGTGCTTTTCAAGCAAAGACTGACTCGTCTTGCGAAGAGTCGCAAGACTATGTCATTTGTCGTGCTACCATGACCAGGCCTCCACTGATGAAAGCAGATTCTCCAAGAGCCTATGAACCCTGAACCTTGCGGAAGGCACATGGTAGTCGTGTAGACAAGTCGTACAAATTCGTTTTGCCAAACCGCTGAACCCACACAGCAAGCAAGGTTCATAGCACCTAGCGAAGAGCTGATAATGTCATTGGATGCACAGAGATTATCAGAACCTCGTTTAGCATCGACGTGCAGGAGCTGTGGCAGCTTTTGCTCGGCCTCGCCACATGTCCAAGCGGCAGCTTCAGTGATGCAGCTAGGATCAGAATCTGTTGGTTGAGTTTCCAGCACTGCCTGGCAGATTCCAAGAAGGAGCTACGCAGAGATGGCGGATGGTTAAGACAGCCACCCTCAATAAATAGTTAGACATAGCTGCACTGCGAGAGTAAGATCGTGTAGTTGCCGAGCGCTTTCCCTTTTGCCGCAAAATCAAGAATTGATGAATGCAGGCTGATGAAAGCTAATCTGCAATCATGAGGGCTTTGTTGCCAACGATGACGGCATTTTTTTGCCTGCAGGGGCAAAATGAGTCTTCAACAGCTGCACAAAAGCTGAGGTTTTTCTTCAGTTGCAGCGCGAGGCACTTCGACGTGCCTACTGCGCAAACCAGGGGTGTGGGCCATGAATTCTTCAGAGGAGTTGCGGGGAAAGTCTTGTCTTCCATGACGTCACTTGGGAACAAAGGAATGGGTTAGGCTGAGGAAGCCGACAAGGACTTGAACGGGAGCAAACCAGTCAGAAGCAAATAGCTTTCTGTCCACTAGGCTTGAACGAGACGAATATTTGCATCAGTTGTGTTGATGCAAACGTTTCCGCGATGATTCCTGCATGCAAGCCCTTCTCAGTTAATCTCCGCCAACTGGCCACGAGTGGCTGAGGTTTGCAGCTACTGGATTGGCAGAGTTTCGCTCTCCGGCGAAAGGCAATTGAGGACCACGGCACGTAGGGGAAGTCTATGAGAGTCGAACTACTACTGCAGGAGGAAATTTCACCGCACGAGATGAAGTTGACATTTCTAAGGCAACGTCAACCCATTTCCCCCTAGACTCCTAGCACCGGCCTTGTAAGGCTTCTCCGCCGGGAACTACATAGTAGTATAAATTCATTCCCGGAAATTAATTGCTCCGCCAGGCGGGGCATGTTAAATGGTCCTCTTGCGCGCCACTCTCGTTGAAGGTTTGACAGAAGATCTCGCAAACTGACATGTCCAAGGGCGGCTGATTTGACTCTTGCGACAGATGCTGAAAGCTGTTCCTTAATGTTTCTAGTCGTGGAAGTTGGACACTAGCCTTGCTGAGCCTCAACTGCCCAGACCCCAAGCCCATCTCCGTAGGATGACTTTCTGAACATCCTGTGGGCATGCAGCTTTGCAGGCGCAGAGCCATGGGCAACACGTACTTGGTGTGCGGATCTTTAAGTTGTGCAGCAAGACTTCGCAGAACCCTTCTTGCCACCCTTGTGGATTTCACTGGGTCTTGTGTAGACTTCAATTTTGCACCTGTCTCAGTTCTTCGGAGAGCACGTATCTTGAGATGCGTTTTGCTGCGTTGCGCGAGGCAACGTGGACCCCGCTCTGCGCTGGGAATTGGGCCGTCGTTTCCGGACATTGGGGGCCCAATTGGACAGGAGGCGAATTTTACCAACTGGTTAGGAACATTGTCATGGCATCAGTGGTCTCCTGCACAGAGGCAGAGGGCTTAGTCGGGGCCATGTTGTATCCAGAGGGCCTGAATCCGACTTCACATCCTGGACAAAAGATAGAGCGCGCTTTTTAGATCTTTGTGGTGCTTCCACTGGGAATGGCAATCCCAGGCAGGCGTCTACCTGACCTGTCAATTGTGATGGCTCCTTGTGCTTTGTCATCTGGTCTTCAGATTTTGTGCTAATACGCCCTACATCTTGCCAGCTTTCCAGTGCCACCATGGTTGGCAGGTCAACTCCGCTTCTCCGGCTTGCCCGGCCTCAGCATGCCCCCACGGTTCTGACGACAGTTCCGACATCGCCAGGGCCAGCCGTTCGGCTGGAGCTAGATGATCGCACCTTGGCGCATAGCGCAGCCTGTGACCAGCTAGCTAGCTAGATCTAGACTTTTGCAGAAACTGCACTTCATGGCAAGTGCAAGTGACCAGAGAACCGGCTCAAGACCCAAGCGCTCGGGATTGTCTTGATGTGTTTGTTCAGCCAAGCTTGAAGCTGCTGCCCCGTCCAGCCGAGGACTTGTTCTTTTCAAGCATCTCGTCGGCATGACGCTACACGTTGATTTTTGTTGAAGAAACAGATGCATGGATGCATGAGCGGCTGTCCTTCCTAAGTACACCCGCTTGCCACCAAAAGTTCAAAGTTTGCGCGCTGGAAGGCCAGTCGGCTGGGAGGTTTGTGACGGCAATGTCCGAAGGCAACTTCGACACTTTGTGGACACTTGGAAAGGTGGCGGCTGGCCCACGCTGAGAAGTGCCTAAGTCAATCCTGCCAAGCTAAGCTGCTGTTGCAAGATCACCTCCTGCCTCCCAAGTGCCTTAAGGTTTATCACATCATGCTACAGCTCCAACATGCTGCAACCCCAAAAACCCGACTAGTTTGGTTTATCAATGGAAATGGCACTTTCGGCATGAGGTGCTGAGCACGACTACGGTTTCCTGCATCGCGTCGACGTTCCATGCTCGGGGCTGATTCTCTTTGCGAAGAGTTTCGAAGCATACTATGACCTGCAGGCGCCGATGGGAATGCACGTGTCAGCATTGCTCCTTTAGCTTCAGCTGGTTGCACTGCAGCCAGACTGGGCAAAAATTGGGGAGGCAACTTAGTAGTTTCCTAAGCTAGCTCGCAATGTGAGCAACCAAGGTGCAGATAAGTGTGGGCGCGGTTTAGAGGATTACAACTGATGCGCGACAGCTTTTCAAACTGCACAGGACGATGCCAGGCCAGCATGCACAAGTTGCCTTTCACGGCAGCTTCAAGACGTGAAGTTTGACATTCGCTCATTTCGGTTACATCATTCTACATATTCTTGTAAGCAAGAGCACGCTTCTGACAATTTCTAGGGTGGTTGTAGATGCTTGCGGTGCAGGTGCAATTGAGAGCTGGAGATGCTTGGCACAAGGCTGGTCAAGGCTTTGCGCACAAGGTGAGGGGGACACCTGATTTCCAAGAACAGAGGAGCCCGATCTCCATCGACCCGCCCAGCATTGACAGTAGCTAGAGGCGAGCCAGGCCCTCCGTGTTTCGGAATTGGTTACTCTTGATGGCCCCCTGAACTTCAATCCTGGGGTTTTAGCGGTCCAGGCAGGGCTGTAATACTCTGGATATGTTTTCATGAGTTAGGTGGCAGCATGCGGCAGGCAAAAGTATGTAAGCTGAGGAGATCATCCGTGACTACACCATTCTGTGCTGCAGCCTTGGTGTGAACGACCAAGACATCATTTGAAGGAACGAGAATTGGGCTCCACGATGATAATGACAGTGAGTTATGGAGAATCACGGTTTCTGATGCCTGGGTCAAGCCACTACGATCAAGTTGCTCGCAGCTTTGCTGGATCTTTAACAGAGGCCATGGCTGGCTTGCCCAAAGCCATCGCAGAGTGGATGCTCACTTGACGTGGCAAGGCTTGGTCGAGACAGCTAGGTGATGATCGGAACACTTCTTGCAGTGGCAAACAACATTTTGGTCCTTGTATGTCCTTGCTCATGCTTTTCTTGAGTGCTGCCACGACTTTTGGGCAAGCTGGGGCCCGCCTTCCTGCAGCTTGCAGTAAGATTGCAGTGATGTCTTCAGCGCCCTGGACATTCAGCCTGCCTGAGCTCGCTGGCAATTCTATGTTTACAAAAGGTGCCAATTCCTAGTGACCCTTCCAAGCAGCTGCCCCAATCAACATCGTTCAAAGTAGCTTGTGCGGCATGCTTGTGATAGTGCCTTGCGGTGTATTGCAGGCTAGTAGGCAAACTGCAGCCTTGTAAGAGCACTTTCAATGTATCCCGGCGCCTTGTTGAGAGCCTGCTGAAAATCACAGATCAGGATCGCGAGCTTGAAGCAAACACCGCGATCGCTTGTCCGAGTTTCGATTGTGACGGGAGACGTGAAAGTTCTTCATTCTTTGTATTTTAGGGAGCGTGACCCCGTTGCCAGATGTTGTGCCGGCTCATTGAAAACAAGTGTCAGTCTAATCTGTGTCTGCGCTGTTGGAACTGGTGGGCACATATTGTTGAATTCGCCTAACCTCTTGCTTTCTACAGTAGGTGTCTTCATGCTGCCTTTGCCCAGATTGTGTCACTTCTCCAATCATTGCTCGTGCAGTTCTTGATCGCGCCCGGGCTGTTCTCTTGTTGATCTCATGCAGCACCTTGCTTGGCAACAGTTCTAGCTCCGTCGAACGTACTTTCCCCCGGTCACAGATGAGGTAGCCAAACTTGACGAAAAACGTGCCTAGTCGGTGGCAGGCTGCGCAGCGGAGTTTGAAGCTGCGCAATCATGGTTGAAAGAGTCAAATGCTCTCAAGCGATCTTAAAGGAAACTACTAGCTAAGAGCCGACAAGAGGAGGAGCAAATCTGTCAGAGAGTCGGCAGAGCTCCAGCTCACTGGACGCAATCCTGCCTTGCAATGCATGAGGGAAGCCCTTGCATGTACTTGGTGCCGGGCGTGCTGTCATCAACTAAGCGTCTAGCAGCAGTTCATGATGCCGAGTGTGTTCATGATGCAGTAATTGCATGTCATTGCAAGCTTACAAGAATTTCCCATAATCAAGTGCCGTGTACTGCACTGAGAAGCATTCTATGGTTGCTTCAGGAGACGAGCCTACTCGCTCCGGCGGTGTTGGAAAACCTGCACGCACGGAATTCAAGGCCCACAATTTTGTTGCCCGCGCACGTTCTTGGCCACAGGAAACATAGAAGAAGGCCTGACATTTAGCTGTGGCAGCTGCTCTGCGTGATCTTGCCGCGACGTTGGCGAGCCCGCGTGTGAAAGTGCAAGAATGAATGCTTGCTGCAGGTTCTGGCGCATGCTGTCTCCAGCTTTGGCGCTGCAACTTTAGCTGTCGCAGCTGAGATGCAGATAGTTCAGCTGCTGCACTGGATCCAGCATATACCATGCGCAGAATCCATCAAGAGTTAGTGCTGGAGAAACAACTTCAAGGTACGGATAGCTACCGGTCGCCGGCATCAAATCCGCAGTCACTGTTCCTTCATCGGGCATGCAGTGGTGCGGGATGAAAAGTATACTGCTACCTGCAGCAAATTGGTATCGCGCTTGTCTTGTGGGAGGCTATCCTTGGTAACCTGCGTTTGGACGAATGAGAGCTGAATGAGAGCTGTGTCCAATATTACATCATAAGTGAGGTACTTGGAAAGCTGAAGCTGTCCTGCGGAAAGAAGTGCTTGTCTGATGGAAGCTCAGTAATCGAAGCTAGTGACAGCTAGTGGCCCCTGGCGCCAAAGGCTTTGCAAACACAGGAGCTGGATTTCAGCTTTTGTGACTCAACTTTTCTGCACCGACATTGCTTAATGTTCAACGATCTCGCTGGTCAGGAGTATGCGCCTCAGTTGCAAACAGCTATAGAGCGCACAAGCGATTCCCAAATCTTCGAGAGAGAAGCAAATCTACGAAGTAGAATTCACTCCGCCAAATCACAAAGACACTGTAGGCAACTTGCTTTTTGGAACCTGTGCAGTTGCATGAGCGGAAGCTGCACTGCCTAGCAGTTGATGAGTCAGGACGTGGTTGATCCGCTGCCTGCAGAGCTCTTGGCAGCTCTGCGCACAGCAGCGTGCAAAGACTCGAGCTCCGCTGCAGCGCTCAGCAGCAACTTGACCCTGCAAAAGCCCTGGAAGTAGCCCGCAAGAAGTCGTAAGAGATATTACTATAAATGTATCGAATTACTAATTTTGAAGACTGCCAGCTGCAGGCACACTGTGTGGTGATCTCAAGAATTGGGAGATGCTGCTTAGCTGGATTAACTGAGAACAACTATACATCCTAGCGTCAGAAGCTAGCAGCATGCGAGACCTAATACAATGCTTGCATGCGGTGAGTGCACAAGACAAGGTCCGCGCAACTCCCCATGAGTACCTCGTGCAGCGCAAAAAACAACTCAGATGGCTGACTTGGGCGTCTTGCGCGTTTTCCAGTGAAGTTGATGTATCCAGCCGTTGTGCCAACCAGTGTCGATGGAGAGGAGCTATGCCAATCCACACATTCAGCTGGCTCAGCTCAGTCCAGCGCACACACTCACGCCACCGGCACTGCAAGACCCAGCGAGCAGACAAATCCCCAAGCCCGCAAAGAAGCCTGCTGCAGCATGGAGCAGGGCCAGCGTGGAAGGCGGTCAGGCAGGTTCACCTGGATTAGCACAGCGATTTGTCGAACAGACCAGAAGTTGTCGCGTTGCTGCGTGTACTGGCAACATGCGGTTGAGAGAGAAATTGAGAGAATGATAGCTTCTTTCGCCGTAGCCATTTTGGCTCAAGTCTCCGCCGCGCGAACCCCGCTTGGGGGGGGAGCGCCCTCGGCCAAGGCCTCCTTCAGGGGTGGGGGTCTTCCCTATCCCTGCGGGAGGTGGACTTGAGCCTGAGGGGGGAGGCTTGAGGCCTCACGACCGTGGCCATTTCCAAGACAAGCCCGGTAAGCGGTACGCCCCCCGAGCAGTGAAAAGTTTCCCTTAACTTTCTGAGTTTGAGAACACTTCTTGGCGTTGATCTATCTCTCTGGGAATTACGGATTTATAAGCCCCTCTGCTGCGGGAACTGCGAACCTGGGAACAGAGTTGGAGTGATCTCATTGATATAGGGAGTAGGCGGCTGTGTGGACAGGTTTTCTTTGGAGTCGTGCTGAGCGGTTTTAGTGTTGAGCTTCGGGTACTTCAGCTTGTCCAGGGGAGTGAGGATGAGGCAGGAAATAATACTTCGGTGAATTAGGAAAGCCATGGCCCATCGCGGCACACCTCGAGATGAGGGAACCGGACACCTCGCTATGTCGGCAACTGGGAACTACAGCGATGCAGGTCGACAGGAGAGAGAAAGCTGCAAATACTGTGACTCCGGAGGGAGAATCAAGAAGCCGCATACGTATACGGAAGGGTGCAAGAAATACGTTCGAGGAGCCACAAAGATGGAGATGGAACATGCAGCTAGAGGAGGAGAAGGTGGCCGCAAAAAATTGATGGAGAAACTGGGAATCAGAGAAGATGAGCGAGATCAAGTACAACGTGGACAAGAACAAAGGAACAAGGAAAAGGAAAAAGCCAAAGATCGGCGAACTCCAGCGAGGAAAAGCTCCCCTCCGACCAGAGAAAAGACACCACCAGTAAAGGTGGGAAATAAGAAGAACACAAAGGAAGAGATACCTCAAAGCCATGGGGAAGACGACTCAAGCCCGGACATGGTGGAAGTTATACTTGGCACAGCAAAAGAAAGGAAATCGAAGCCAAGCAAGCCGAGGGAAGAGCAAGTGACTGCGCTACCGTCAGACAGGTCCGAGACACAGCAGACTGCCCCTCCGATGCGAGCTAAAGTTCCAGCGCCAGAATCAGCCAGGGTTTCCGAAGAGCTACTTATACAGAGGAATGAGGAAGCCCGACAACGCGAGCAGCGGATAGAGTGGCAAAATTGGGAGAATGCTGCGAAAAGGTATCTCAAAACAAGGAGACAACTGAAAGAGAGAGAGAAGAAGCCAAAATACAGGAGGAAAGAAATCAGGCAGAGAAGCAAAAGGATGAGTTATTGAAGCTGGCGTCAGAGGAAGATAGAGAAAGAGAGCGACAAAGCCAACCGCTCACCCCTCTCATGCCAAGGGAAGAGTCCCCGATAGGCAGCCCCACAGAAGAAGTGGAAGGAACAGCTGAAGATCTGGAAAAAGTGGGAGGGAAAGAGTCACCTGAAGGACAGCTGCCAACATCGATGCCCTGGCACAAGAATACAAGGCCGGCGGAGCCTACAATGCCAAAAAAGAGACGGCTGACAAGTGGGGAAATACAGTTAAGACTGGAACAGACTGCGTATTTGACAATCTGGATGCAAAAGGATGAAGCTCAGAGACGAGTCTGGGAAAGAGAGCAACACGACGAAGAGGAGGACGTCAACTGCTTGGCAAAGGAAATACAGTGCCTGGACGAACACCTGGGTGAAGGAGCGACAATGCAGTGCGTACGAAGCCAGCTGCAAGAATGGGGAGTACAAGGGATGGAAGAAGCAAGGCCACAGGAACAGACGCCGGAAACGCCATGGCGGAGGCAGAACTGAACATTGCGAGTGAGATCATCATTTTCATTCTGACTGAGAAACCGTGCAATACACATTGTTTTCAGCTTGACAGGGACGACGTACAAATTTTCAACTTGACAGGGATACAGTGCAACACCGTGACCACGGAGTATATTGTGAGAAAGGGTAAGGAATGGGAGAAGGGAAGGAAGAGTGAATTCAGCATGCCCCTGCGTCCGCTGGGAGCATAAGCCTCTCAGAGATGTGGGTACTGATAGAGACCAACCGTGACCAATGCCAATTCGGGATGACCATGACGCTGTAATTGGGAAGTGTAGGCTAGGATTTCCACTTCACCGGGTTCGCGATGCAAAATGTAACAGAGTCGTGGGAACAGGAAATTAGAAGTCGAAGACGACCAGACATGCAACAGTGTAGAGAATTCGAGCGAACCGAGACCCTACCACAAGGAAATAGGGAAGTGTACAAATCAATGTCAGATAGGGAAAGTTAGATAGAGTTTAAGATTTCTCCACCGGAGCAGTGAGAAGCAAGGGGCATGTGGAGATCCAATGACTGGGGTAAGGGAATGTATGATCTCTACATGTCAGCCTTTCCTCGGCTCCTGACCGACCATTTTCCCGGGACAGGAAAGGCGCACCAGATAAAGTAAGATCGCTAGGGGTGTAAGTAATTTTCCGTGCAACGATCTGGTGAACGCCGAACCATCCCAGCCAGGAACCCCGGACATTTGGGCTGGAGGTTCGCCTCCGCGACACCTCCGGGTGTCGCATAGCCTGTAGAAGAAGTAGAAGAAGAAGAAGCTTCTTTTGCAGCACATTACGCAATGGGCTACTTCAACAGGACTGTTGACATAAGCGCTCTCCGTAAACTCCGGCCAGGTTCACATGAGTTGCGCCAAACTAGGCTCCTTGCAGAGAGCCAAGACAAGGAATAATGCCGCGCAGCTGACGCCAAGAGAAGCTGCCCAGGCCCAAATAGCATGAGACGAGAAAAGCTGCACTTGGGGGCTGTCGAGAGGCTTGGAGAAGCCTGGCCCAGCAGCGGAAGTTGCAAGAAGCCTTGAGGCTGTTGAGCTGGCTGCACGGCCAAAGGGTTCCGGCAGCTTGGCAAGTCACCGAGGAAGGAAACTCTAAGACTGCAGGGGTAGCCGGCAAATTAAGCCAGGCAGCGGATGCTATCACTTTCAATGTCGCCATTTCCTCATGCTCGAAAGCTGCAAGGCTGCAGTTAAGCATGTCATCAGCGCAGTGCAAGAATCGACAATTCAGGTGCGCAGTTGTGCCCTGAAGGTCAGCGATTGGGCATGTGCCGAGGAGTTTTTCTGTATGATGAGCACATGCCATGTGCGCGCAACAACGGTGACAGTCAACAGCGTGGCTGCCTCAATCCAGCTGAAGCATGCTGGAGCATTCTGCAGCTTGCGCTAATTAGCCACAATGCGTCGCAAGCCACCGGAGCAGGTAGTCAGACTCACTGCGTGGATGTGACTGTGCCTTGCTGGAGCATTGAGAAGAGGTGCTTTGTGCCCACGAGCGCGTTGGCAACTGGCAGAGTACGCTGAGTCGCCTGGGGCGATTCCAAAGTTTCGGCTTTTTGGCGGATGTGCCTCGCTTTAGAAGGCACAAAGCAGTGCAAACTTGGCTTTTTAAATCACGGTCGCCCCTGACTTTGCCCCTTAGGCAATTAGCTACAACACGGAGACTACCTCATGCGCTCGTTCAAGGCAGTGGCGTTTGGCATTGAGCATCCTACGCAGCAACCAGGCCTGCGTCGTTTGACATTATTGAGTGTTGAGCTGAGGTCGTTTTGGCTTGATTTGCTAACCTACCACCAGGATCCCAGGGAGGGCAACGTTGGGTACAACGCCGCCCTCAGCGCCTGTGGGAAGCTCGGCAGTGCTAGGAAGGGTGATATCGATATCCGAAGATGGCGGCGGAATGCCGCAACAAATCATTTGCTGTCACGCAGGCTGTCAAGTGGCAGACTGCCACAAGGTTCTTGAATTCATAGCTTTGAGCCTAGGCTCTTGTCCACACGTCCTCTGCGAACTGGAAGCTGTGCCACCAATCCCTTGCAAGGAACACGTAGTTGGCACAGCAAGTTGTCCATAGTGTTTTCATGGGGTCACTCCAGCTCCGATCACCTTGAGTGCCAGCACAGAAACGTCAGAATTGAAGCCATTCCATGCCCTCCTGTTCGTGGAAGTAGCCTTTAGATGCCTTTATCCAAGTACTGTAGATATCTGTAGATTGCTTTGTCCGTCCGCTGACAGGTCTGTCAATTCCTTGGCATCCTCCACTTTGATCCGCATTTGCACTGGCCAAGTTGGTCTCAAGACGGTACGGCAAGCCTTTGTAAAGAGACCTCGTCAGCTCCCAGTTTGGCATCAACCCTTCTCCTGCTGCCCCTCGTGTCTGGAAAGATCTGGAAAGCCTAGCATTGATGTCCTTATGTTGCTGTCTGCCAATGCAACGCTTGATGCCCGCATTCACTTTCTTTTTGTTGTGAACGCCCCACTGCGCCCTAATTACCTCAATTCAGGTCCAGAGGGGGTGCGCATGAAAAGAATGGCAGATACATACTGCGGATGCTGCCTCCAGCGGACGCATCTAGCGCTGTTCGTGTCGCTTTCTTCTCGAGGAAGTGCACGCTTTGGCACAGCGTGCTGGATCTTTTTCACTGCATGCACCTTGGCCGCACCAAGTGAGTGAAAGGCTCCGCTCGCTCAGGCTCTACATTCAGGAGAAGCTTTCGTCTCCTTTTCAATCAGGGAAGCTTTCCCTTGCAGCAATGGCCGAGGCGTGTGGGTGGTTTCGAGGTGGATCCGGTTACTTGGAGCACGACTTTCTCTTCGCTT